GGCGCTGTACGGATATCGGAACGGAGCTTCATCTTTTCTTCGACAGAAGCGCCACATGCAGCGTACACTGCAGGATAACCAAAAACCGTTAATTATGGCAAAATTAAGGTATTAGAAATTTAATCAAGGGCATGGAACTGTTCGAGAGAATCTACAGCACGAGGCTTTGACAGAAGGTCGGAACGGACCGTTCTTGTTCGAATTGAACAAGTCACGAAGCGTAAACTTTCCGGATTTTTTTTTTACTACTTAACAGTGATATTTTTAAGAAAAACGCTGTTCGCCTTTACTTTAGGATATTTCTATGGATGTGCAATCCAACCCGGTGTATACTTTTTTCCACAACTTCTTCAAATTCCCGGTCAGCTCTGTCCAGTGTTGCACTGTATGCTTCCAAATTTAATATCGTTTCTTGTAAAGTCTGATTTAAGAGAGAGAGAGAGAGGGAGAGAGAAAGAGAGAAGTTAAAGCAATTCTTCTTTCGTCGTCGTTGCTATCGTTTTCTCGTTGTTGTTATATCGTTGATTATTAATTGTATCTATGGTTGGTAAGTATATCTGTAGTCGACAATGTGTCGATAGTTGGTCGGTTATATATAACTGATGTATCTATAACTCTAATTCAATACGTCGGAACGGAAGATTCGTATGTTACGATAAGCGCGACCGTGGACCGACGATAGTTGAACAATCTCCGTTTATTTTTCAAAATTGCGTCGTGTATAGCAATTTTGTCAGTTTTTTGTTCGTAGAGCTGCAGTCGAGGTAATGGCGTAACGTTAAAATTGTTACTCTAGACTGTCGTTAAATTTGGCCAACAGTTTGAGCGTTTTGCCGCTACTCCAATTGGCGCTGCGCGGACATCGGACGGAGCTTCCTGTTTTCTACCAACGTGGCGCCACAATCGATCACGCGTCGATACGGTAGAGCTGCATAAAAACAAAACACACATTGATTGTGGCAAAATTATAGCATAAAATGGTAAACCAAAGAATACCGAATTGTTCGGGAGGATCTGTTTCACATTCTTTATCATGTTCGTTTAATACGATATCGATGAATTAGATTCTCTCTCGAACAGTTCCGTTTCCTTGGTTAGGTTCATTAGCAACTTTGATCAACGATCAACGATAACGCAAACATTATATATTTATATTGTTTTAATATAATTATATTGCAATAGTAAGCTTATGTTTCTTTTAACTTTATCAACAATTATAAATATTATACGTAAACGTAGTACATACAAGTCTTACGTATATCAATTATCCTGATCAAGAAAGAAAGAAAGACATATTAAATTTCCTCAAATTATATAACAAATTAAAGCGATAATTTCTGCGCTAAGAGTGCGCTAAAAGAAATGAAAAAATTATGTTTTCATTTCAGAATTTATTAGGGATTATTTCGATGTTAATTCTGTCGCTTCGAACAACGGTATATCGCGTGTCGCAATCCTTTTTGCCAAGTAACGTTTGTTTTCAATTAACAGCACAGTTACAGAAAAATGGTAATCATAGAATGTGTTGATCGATGATCAATTATAATCGCACAAGTTCTGCATCGATGTTAACGCATCGAGTTTATTCACGATATTATCTAGAATCTTGAATTTTTCTGCACCAGTTACTCTAGATCATTCTAACGTTCTACATATTGTAATCACGTTGCCTTCTCGATCCACTGTTTCGGCCGTTACAACAACTCGAACACCTGTAGAAAAATTAGAATGCCGATAAAATGAACGGTGATCGAGCATACTTGTGTAACATAATAGGAAAGAAATTTACCGAGGATGCCGGATCGTCGAAGCCGGATCTCGTACAAAGAATTTTCCATGATCCGATGTGGGAGCAAAAATTCGCCGGAAATAGCATATTTCGATGCCTCGATAACGGTTGTTTTTCTCTCGGTGCCATTTCGAGCATGAATAAGTGTCACCGGTCGAGAAAATCTAATCGTAACTTCTTCATCTTCGTCGCAAAAATTTCGAATACCCTGCAAACAAAGTTTTCTCACGCTTTGCGTTCTTTGCGATATATATAAAAATACAATATATATATAAAACATGTACAGTTAGCCAGATTCGCTACGGTTCAACGTGTGTGCGACGTTCCGATACAATTTTAAATAACCTTGACAAAATGAATATCAACAGGAGGAGGGAGAAGCCTTGAAACGATCGAACTCGGCTGAAAACGAAACGACTCTATACGGAACTTTCGGGACAGTATCTTAGCTGCCATCTGCGCGGTAATTAAAAATTGTTGAGAAACTAAAATTCGATCCAGCGGTTTGCACGCGCTGTTCTGGAAAAAGAATTTGCCGGTTAAAGAGCGCCCGTTAATCCGTAAACACGTTTACCCGAACGATTCGCGCGTTTCTGTTTGTTCGACGAAGCGTCGTTTATACGGGTAAGAATCGGGTTACACGTAGCACTGACCGATTATTAATCTGCCGACGAATACCAACTAGAAATCTAGACCGTGGGATCGGGTCAGTTCGAACGCGCGCGCGCGCACCAACCTCCTGGCACTCTCTCGCATGGAAATAGCGTCGAGGGACTGCGACGCATCTTCGAATCGTTCGCCGTTCGATAAAGAAGATAAGAGACGATACGATGCGTCGCGGTGGGAAAACCATTCGACGTTTTGCACAGAATTTGCCGGCGTTGCTTTCGTTTTCGACGATCGCGCACGATGCGAAATCGCTCGGTGTATCTTACGAAATCGTTGAATAACCCGAAAACGTTGACGCAGTTTCCCAATTATTTCCGTGGACCGCGTCCTATCGAGAGAAGAGCTTGAAAAAGCGGTAAAGAGTCGGTAAAGGCGGTAAAAGCGGTAAGGAGGTCAGAGATTTTGCCGAGCAGCTAAACTCGGACGATATCCGCGATAGTCTCGCCGACGTCTGTGTACACGCGTGTACAGCGATGCGCCATAGCGAGTCACCGATCATTTTATCGTCGCGATCATAGGCGTTCTTCTTAACGAGGATCTTGATATCCGAGCCTCGTTCCCATCGCGAACGCCATCGGCGGCCTCCCCCCCCCCCCCACCTTTTGGAAGATCGTCGCGTCCGTTGGTCTCGGCTCGCGACCACGACGTCGAGTACTTTACGGACGCGACGACCTTACGACCCGTTTCCCGTTCGCGGTAGCTCAGGGTGGAAACGTAACGTTTTTCGAACGTCCCGGTTCTGGTCGCGCGCGGCGAGACGCGGCCGAAAGCGTAGCGAAGCGAGAACGTCCAGAGGCGTTGAAGGAGATCCCGCTTAGAGGAGCCGCGGGTTGCGAAGCGAACTTCGAATCTAAATCGTGATGCGTCTTCGTTCGATCGATGCCGTATCCGTGGATCGGTGAATTCGAGTTGGAATCGTATGCTCGTTCGTCGTAGAGAAAAAGGAAAAGAAAACGAAGAAACGTCTATCGTCCGCTTGCAAAGTAAATACGCGCGTAGACGGTGGCGCGCGCGCGCGTCTCGATTTCGCACCGGTTCGAGTCAGCGGCGAGTGCTATCGTACATAATATATACATTATACGTACGTATCGTATGCACCGCGTGGCCAGCATCCGTCGGTGTTGGAAAGCTCGGTGCTCGAAGAACCGCCGAGGAGCCGCATCGTGTTTCCACGTTGCGAGAGGCCGTTCCCGAGTCAGCGCGAATAACGATTTCCATTACCCGCGTTGTTTCCCCCGTGATATCGCGTGTTATCCGTTCGCGGAAGCGGGTTTTGCGCGTTGTTTCGTTAGTCTCGTTACGAGGCACCGCGCCGATTCGAGGCCGTGGGGCCGGGACCGAGATCGGGATCGGAACCGAGACTGATTCCGAGACCGAGTCCGAGAGACGAGAGTCGATTCGATCATCGAGTCTCTCCGCTTCGGGGGGACGTCTTTTTCCAATACGGCGGGGCAACGGACAACGGGCAACAGGCAACAGGCAACGGACTCCCGTCCATCGGCGTTTTTCGATTTTCGGACGCGTCCCTGTCGCCGTCGGTTCGCAGTCTAAGTCTACGGTTTACGTAATTACTTTCACCACGAGCGTCGTTCGCCTTCGCTTCTTCCAACGTCGATCGTTCGGTCGCGTGTCTCCTTTTGTCCGCGCGGGCGCGGAGCGTGTCGGTCGCGTGCCCCCTCCGAATAGCTCGGTTTACGCGTACCCGGCGTCGTTGAAAGCTTCTTACCCGCGATTGCCCCCAGTCCGTTTAATTTCTCGACGAGACAAGGGCGAGGCTCGAACAAGATGTTCGAATTTTGCCGTTCGTCGCTGGCTCCGAACGTCCGTAAATTACGATATCGATACGATATACCGTCGGATTCCGTATTCGTTGTATATCGATACGATCCACGGAACGTTCGTTTCCACGGCCGTTTCATAGTTCGCAGTTTCCGGCAACGAACGATCGTTTCGTAACCTTCCTTCGTAACACCGTTTTGCACGCGGGGTGGAAAGCGTCGACTGCTCGGGGACAACTCCTCGACCGCGGCAAACGGCCGTGGTCGCCTCGCGCCTCGCGTCGATTCGCTTCCAGATATTAGATTTTCGATCTCGCTTTCGACGAAACGTTCCGTTAAAAATATTCCGCCGGATAAAAATCAAGGGGCGCGTCGCGATAAATATTCTATCGTCGCTCCCGCGCGGCTCGTTAGCGCCGAGCGAACGAGGTTGCACCGATCCGTGGCGCTTTTTTCTATTTGCAGCTGGTCCCGTCGGCGCGGCGATTTTTCGGACGGTCGCCGCCGAGCGCGCGAGTGCTNCCCCCCCCCCCCCCCACCTTTTGGAAGATCGTCGCGTCCGTTGGTCTCGGCTCGCGACCACGACGTCGAGTACTTTACGGACGCGACGACCTTACGACCCGTTTCCCGTTCGCGGTAGCTCAGGGTGGAAACGTAACGTTTTTCGAACGTCCCGGTTCTGGTCGCGCGCGGCGAGACGCGGCCGAAAGCGTAGCGAAGCGAGAACGTCCAGAGGCGTTGAAGGAGATCCCGCTTAGAGGAGCCGCGGGTTGCGAAGCGAACTTCGAATCTAAATCGTGATGCGTCTTCGTTCGATCGATGCCGTATCCGTGGATCGGTGAATTCGAGTTGGAATCGTATGCTCGTTCGTCGTAGAGAAAAAGGAAAAGAAAACGAAGAAACGTCTATCGTCCGCTTGCAAAGTAAATACGCGCGTAGACGGTGGCGCGCGCGCGCGTCTCGATTTCGCACCGGTTCGAGTCAGCGGCGAGTGCTATCGTACATAATATATACATTATACGTACGTATCGTATGCACCGCGTGGCCAGCATCCGTCGGTGTTGGAAAGCTCGGTGCTCGAAGAACCGCCGAGGAGCCGCATCGTGTTTCCACGTTGCGAGAGGCCGTTCCCGAGTCAGCGCGAATAACGATTTCCATTACCCGCGTTGTTTCCCCCGTGATATCGCGTGTTATCCGTTCGCGGAAGCGGGTTTTGCGCGTTGTTTCGTTAGTCTCGTTACGAGGCACCGCGCCGATTCGAGGCCGTGGGGCCGGGACCGAGATCGGGATCGGAACCGAGACTGATTCCGAGACCGAGTCCGAGAGACGAGAGTCGATTCGATCATCGAGTCTCTCCGCTTCGGGGGGACGTCTTTTTCCAATACGGCGGGGCAACGGACAACGGGCAACAGGCAACAGGCAACGGACTCCCGTCCATCGGCGTTTTTCGATTTTCGGACGCGTCCCTGTCGCCGTCGGTTCGCAGTCTAAGTCTACGGTTTACGTAATTACTTTCACCACGAGCGTCGTTCGCCTTCGCTTCTTCCAACGTCGATCGTTCGGTCGCGTGTCTCCTTTTGTCCGCGCGGGCGCGGAGCGTGTCGGTCGCGTGCCCCCTCCGAATAGCTCGGTTTACGCGTACCCGGCGTCGTTGAAAGCTTCTTACCCGCGATTGCCCCCAGTCCGTTTAATTTCTCGACGAGACAAGGGCGAGGCTCGAACAAGATGTTCGAATTTTGCCGTTCGTCGCTGGCTCCGAACGTCCGTAAATTACGATATCGATACGATATACCGTCGGATTCCGTATTCGTTGTATATCGATACGATCCACGGAACGTTCGTTTCCACGGCCGTTTCATAGTTCGCAGTTTCCGGCAACGAACGATCGTTTCGTAACCTTCCTTCGTAACACCGTTTTGCACGCGGGGTGGAAAGCGTCGACTGCTCGGGGACAACTCCTCGACCGCGGCAAACGGCCGTGGTCGCCTCGCGCCTCGCGTCGATTCGCTTCCAGATATTAGATTTTCGATCTCGCTTTCGACGAAACGTTCCGTTAAAAATATTCCGCCGGATAAAAATCAAGGGGCGCGTCGCGATAAATATTCTATCGTCGCTCCCGCGCGGCTCGTTAGCGCCGAGCGAACGAGGTTGCACCGATCCGTGGCGCTTTTTTCTATTTGCAGCTGGTCCCGTCGGCGCGGCGATTTTTCGGACGGTCGCCGCCGAGCGCGCGAGTGCTCGAGAGCACGGTGCCGACCGTTAACGAGTTACGCGTATCGCATAAATTTCCCGCGAACGTGCTCGCGGGACGTTTCCCCATTATTCGCGTCGAACGCCTTAATGAGACGCGGTGGAATGTTTGGAATACGTTTAGCGATCGGCTGCGAAACCTGCCGGCGCTTCGCTTCGCTTCGCTCGACGTCGCGTCGCGTCGAATCGTATGTTGCGCGCAGACGGTGTCCGAAAGGTGTGCCTTTCGAGCATCGAGCGGCGGGCGCGCGGCAGCTAGTCAAGGATAACGCCTACCGTGCTAAAATTAAATATCGCGGCACCTGTGGCGAGCTACGCGTAACACGTTTCGAATACGCGCGCAACTTCTTCGCCGAATCCTTCCGCGAATCCTTCCGCGGCCTTGGCCGCGTGTCGCGAATCGACGATACGACGATCGATCGTATCCGAGCAGGAAGACGAGGATCGGTCGCGTCGTCGCTTCGACGATTCCGCGCGCGTTCGCCAAATTGCCGAGGATAATTATCGTAAA